TTAAGTATTTTTTACTGCTTGAACATTTGTATTTATAATACTACATATTGGCAAACGTGAATAATCCTTTGAATATCAGCTTTCAAGCAAAGTATAGCAAACTAATATGTCTGTCCTGAGACCTATAAAGCAAAGGTTTTAATCTGATTTAGCTCACTGAAAACTCTGATCACCTGTAACAGTACTTCTCTCTTTATGTAGGCTATGATGATAAAAATTCCTAACGGGCTCCCAAGAGGTGATTAGACACATTTTGGCATAAAAGAACTCACCTGCTTATGTACAAAGGTTTTGCCTCCAATTACAAGTTGGCTAAAACAACAAACACATTATTTTCTGTCAGAAATGAAGCAAGCTGACTAAAACTAGGAAAGTCCATCAAGTTAATTTCTGCCTGTCTCTTTTTTCTTTTTCGAAACTCAGACTTTACTGATAACAGAGACATCCTACTGCAGCGCTATCTCTGTATCGCTAAGAGCGCGTGCACATGGACCAAACCAAATCATGAAATAAGGAGGGGGAGGCGGGGTCAGAGGCTGACTGAATTATAGTCTTTGGTGTCAGAAACAAACAAAACTAATGCTAGAAAACAAACACGTTTATAAGTACCTTGTGAAGCAAACAGTATTTTATGGTGATAAAGTTAATAATTTCATAACAAAAACAAATAAATAAAATAATATGTATGGACTATTTGACTATTCCCTTCATAGAATCGTCATAACTTCTCTCCTCTAAGGAAATCCTCTCTTAATTGATTTCACTTGCAGACTTAAAAAAGACGTACAACCGACCTGGTGACATCATCACTGGGAACGTGCTCCTGGTTTTGATATGACTGTGACAATTTTTAATTTCTTGTTATTTTATTGTTGTAATTGTAACATGTTTGTCTGAAGCGGGTCTCCCTTGTAAATGACTTACTGAGTCTCGATTGAGCTACCTGTATAAATAAAGGTAAAATAAAAAATAAAAAAAGTAATTGAGTTAACTAATGAGGTTGCTTTGTCTGCTTTGGCCAATAGTGGTCACTGCATGACATGTGCATTACATGTGCAATGCATCTTTTGTCAGTCATCTTTTGCTGACTTTTGAAGACTGGCATATCCTATTTAATACGTGCGTGGTTTTCTTGATTGATTGATTGATTGATTGATTGATTAGGAAAGCTTTTAGAAAACTTTGTTGGCTGCAGTTCTTCTTTGCTCTTTCAATGTTGGGATAAATTCTCTTTCCACATTCGAGTGAATCCAGGCTGCAAATATATAATCAAAAATGGACAGGTCAGCAGGGTGTTTTGTTTTTGTTCTGCAGATCTAGATGACTGAGTTTTGTGCGATACCTGTGATTCACTGGGCAGGTTTAAATACTCACTGTAATGATTTCTTATCTGCAGTGCCACGCTGAGACACAACACAGGAGGTCTTGGTGCATTATCCTCCACACCTGCAGGTGGTGGTGGTCCAAGTTTATTCTCCTCAGCAAGAGAAGTGAGTAGATTTGTAAACAGTAGACTGTAGGATATGCACAGCATGACAGTACGGCAGATTCAAGTAATAATATGAGCCAGGTTTTGTTGACTTTGGAGTGCAATGCAGATGAATTATGAACTTTTTATTTTTGTAGACAGAAAAAGAGAGGAGATGATATCATTGCCATTAATACACAGACACATGTTATAAGAAAATCAGAAAATGTCAAAAAGAATTTGTAATATTTCTATGTGAGATGCTCCTGAACTGAGGGCTGTGCTGCAGCTGTTAAATTTAACAGCAGAGTACTCATGGACGGGTGGCTGGCCTCTCCTTTAGAGATACAGTGATGAATTTATTCCTCCGAGAGAGAGTCTGAGTAGAGCCGCTGCTCCTCCACCTTGAAAGGAGGCAGTTTAGGTACTTTAGGCATCTGACAAGGATGCCTCATGGGTCAGGTATTTCGGCCATTTCCCACTGTAAGGACAGAACGACAGATGGATACACTGAAGGAGGTGGCCGGGAAGAGGAGAAGGGTTTGGTGAAGGTCACGTGTTTCCGCTTGCTGTGGAGCTCCACAGTGGCTGCAGCCAGGTGCTCTTAGGGAAGAAGGAGGTCTGTGTGTCCTTTAGCTGTTGTTCCTTTAGCTCTTCCTAATCAAGGCTCATGCAGGATGGAAACATTTGTCTTGGCTACTTGACAAATAATAAAATGTGTTTACATTAATACCAAAGACAGACCACAAACAATTTCTCAGTCAGCTCATCCCTTTACATAATTATTCTCAGGAATGAAAACACCAGCAGCATACGTCAGCAGTATTTATCTGAATGATAAAATAAAGCAGGAATCAACACGTGTTCATATTTTACCACCAAGCAGTGTGGAAACTGCTGAGTTACAGTGCTTCACACCAAAACTAGTTCAGGATATTAAATAATTTCACTAAATCAAAAAATTTAAATTAAAAAGTTTTCAGGAAGTTTCAGAAATAAAGCTGATGTTTAAGTTTAGCCTCATCTATGAATACTGCATTTGATCCTCAGCCAAACAGCACAGTCCATGAAAAAATCCTCCACAGAGGCAGAGACCGTGCTCCTTAACTTTTCTCTTTCTAACGTCTGATTAAACACCATCTAAACAACATGAGTTTCAGTCTGTTTCTTTTATACGCAAGTCTCTAACATGACTGGACTTCACTGCAGCTCTTCCTGCTCTTCAGTGTCGTCTGCAGTGATGCCCTGTGAGGCTGAGACGTTCTCATAATCAGCACGAGTGTTTACCTGATGGAGAGAGAGAGCTTTCTGTATGTTTTTGATAACATTCAAAACTAAATACTTTAGTAATACTTAAAGAACTTCACATTATCCTACCTAATTTTATTTACATTTATTTTTGGATCACTTATTTTTCTATTCTAGTGCAATAGAAACTATCAAAGGAGAGATCATCTGGAGTCCCGGTCGCGTTTCGCCTATGGTGGCCAACCTGACATAGACTTTTATCCTTACTGTTCAAATTATTTCTATTTCTTATCTAAAGCTGTTGTCAACACATTTCCCTCAGTATCTTTTCAGTCCGTCACACCCTCAGTTGTGGGGACTGACAAGCTTTTAATTACTGCTCAGATCTGTTATCCTCATTATATTAAGTTCATGCTTCTTTTCATGGACAGACCTTTGTAGACAGTCAGAAACAGCTGATGTACACCTGTTCTTCACAATTCACACATCTCTGCTTATTACACACTCTAAGGTAAGTCTTTAAGTAGATATTCTTGTTAAATCTTACACATGTTGTTCAGGGTACTGCTGTCTTTCATTAAATTATTTGCTTCCGTCGCCACATGGCAGTCTACAGGTGATGATAGGAACTGATCTTTCATGTTCTCTGATCAGGATCAAACCACTCTTCAGCACAAAGACTGTTATTTTGGACTTTACCTCAGTATCGGACTCAGATTCATGAACCTGGCTCAATTCACCTTTAAACTGGTTGTACAGTAAAACACTAAAAGAATTTAAAATACATTATAGTATCTTGAATTCCACTGCACATCTTAAACAACATTTTGGTGAAAAAAGAAAGCTGAAGATCTGAAAACACAAAATTGTTCATGATCATCGCATAACACAGTGAAGTAAACTTACACACAGGATCTGAGCGATAATCTTCATGTCCTTTGAAAGCACAGGAGATGATGTCTCCAGGATTGAACAGATCTTGATAAGAACTTTGTTCAACCATAAACTGATTGTTTTTGAACCAGACAAAAGAAAGACGACCAGCTGGACTGCAGCTGCTTTCACACTTCAGCTCTGCCTCAGTCTGAGACTCATGGACTGATATTATTCTGCTCACCTTCACCTGCAGATCTGAATATGACAACACAGCAGACATCAGACATTAAATACTCAAAACAATAAATACACCCATTACCACAACTGAACAACTGAGCTGAATGAAATATTCAGTGTGTATTGATCAGTACCTGTGACAGTCAGAGTTGTTCCAGGTAAACTACTCTTCCATTCAAAATCTTTGTGTTTTGAATTTGAAGTGATACTCGGCTGAATCACTCTCTGTCAGGTCTCTGATTCTCAGAGTGGAGCGTCCTCGCTCTGTTTCAGTCACCTCAACACGACCTACATACTGGGAGTCTTCTGTGAGATCCTCAGATCCACGACCAGAACGGAACCAGGACTTTGATTGGATTGGACTTTCATAACTGTTGTAAGTACAAGAAATGTCCACTGATGATCCTTTGACTGCACAGATTCTTCTGTTACTGTAATTCACTCTGTAGCATGAATCACCTCGGACACCTGAAACATAAAATGATTTTGAAGTCAGATTTGGGAAATAGTTACAGTGAAATTTACTGTTTTTATTTAAATATGAACTAATGGAGAGTGAAAATCCTCAAATCCTTTTAAAGCACATGAGTAGCTGTTTTTATTGCCATATGACATTTGATATGAGTAGCTGTATAAAGTGTCATATTGAGCTTCATAAGAAGAAGAGCTGGCTCCATTCACTTGTTGTCCATTTTTGTACCAGACATAAGATGAAACATAATGATTGCACCTGGTGACACAATCCAACTGTCGTCCAGTCGACACACTGACCTGAACATCTTGAACAGTGGACAAGAAACAATAAATAAAATGTCAGTCACTCTCACACTGAGACAGATTAGGGATTTCAATTTTCAGATCTAAAACAATGAATTAGTGGGGAAAAATAGTAATTATCTTGATGTCTAAACATGAAATCTCACAAAAACTTTAGAAAATATATCATTAAAAAGCACAGAACATGTTAAGCTGACTAAATATCCATCAGTGTGTGTTCATCAGATTACCTGTTACTGTAATTCACTCTGTTGCATGAATCACCTCGGACACCTGAAACATAAAATTATATTGAAGTCAGATTTAGAAAGTAGTTACTGTGAGTTTGACTATTTTTATTCAGATGTATGTAATGACTCTATGAGATGGTTTTATGTAACTGAAATAAACTCACACACTGAAGGAGAGGAGAAATCTTCATGACCTCTTACAGCACAGGAGTAGCTATCTGAAGGATTCAGATTGGCTGAATACCGATACTGGTTTCTACTAGAAATCTTGTGTCCATTTTTGTACCAGATGTAGGAGGAATGATTGTGTAGTTGACAACTGCTCTGACAAGTCAGTGTTGCCCAGTTGGAATATGATGATGTCTCCACGTGTACCTGAAGAGCTGAATATGTGAAGAAATAAAATCAGAACAGAAACTTAGACATCTATTATCCAGATCCAAACACACACAGTCATGTTCATAACAATTTCTGACTGATGTGTAAATTAAAATGTTACCTGTGACAGTCAGAGTGACTCCAGGTAAAACAGTAAAATTTTTCTGGTCTGTTTCAAACCTGAACTTGTACACAGCTGAGTCGCTCTCTCTCAGGTCTCTGATTGTCAGAGTGTAGCTCTTCCAGTGAGAACTGTACGACACTCGACCTGCATATACTGGGTCTGTTTTCAGATCTTCAGGATTATAATTGTTCCCTTTAGTGAACCAAACTCTTTTTAACGCATTTACTCTTGAAGGTGTTTGAAGGAGCAGCCTATGTCCACTGTTGATCCTTTTACAGCACAGATCTGAGTAGAAGTGTAAGTCACTGCATAATCATTCTGACTCTGTACCACTGTAACACAGAACACATCAGAACGCAGTCAGACTCATTACAACAACAATAAACAGTTTTATTTGTAGTTGAACTACATGCAGAGAGAAATTCTGATTCTGACATTCGGATTTAGACCAAGCGCACTTCATCACAATAGAAAAAATGAAGTTGTGCTTCATTTCTGTTTTACAAAATATTTAACAACTGTTGTTCTCAGCCAAATGTCTGAAATGTCTGTCTTCAGAACATTAATAGATAAAGATCAGCTTTCCACATATTAAATTATTATAGAAATTGTCCAGTTAGGTACAACCTATTTATATCTACCGATAGATGTAGATATATAGATGTATATAGAGATATAGGGAGAGATGTACTGGGTCTACAAAAATAAATCCCTTATGTATTGTAATTTTACATTAAAAAGTAACTCCTGCAGATACTGAATGTGTGAAAACCAGGTACACATAAACCTGTTAGAGAGAGAAGGAAGAGGACCAATCCACTCGCTGCTGCACTTAAACTCATCGCTTCTTCTCTCGCTTCTTAAATCACATCAACATGACACATACTGTTTTCCAGTTAGTCTCCATCAGTTGTTCAGGATGTAGTCTTTGATAAAAGGGTCTTCTGTGGTTAGAAAATATAAAAGAAATATTAGACTGTCTTCCTTCAACTGGACATGGTCAACATGCATAAACAGATGAAAGCCTCTAAACTCACACACTGAAATGAAGAAGTGGTTGTTATACAGTGGTTTACATGCAGAATAGCTTCTTAAAATACAAATATGGAATATTTTTAATCAGTCTTTAATCGTACAGTTCCGGGCCAGTTTATTACCAGGATCATAAATAGATTTTCTCTCATGTACATTAAGTTTTAATGTAAGTTTTCTTTGTGCGTCAATGAACCTGTAAGCGTTATTTCTTTTGGCAGTTAACTGGCATGATACTGGTTCTAATTGTTTGTGCATGTTAAAATTATGCCTCAGTACTTTTGTACCATGTTGGTAGAAATATTGAGCACTAAGTTAATAGCTGTAATGTTTGCATGCCTCAAACATTAATGATCACACCCTCAGTAATTCTCAGTTCCATTCTTTAATTCTCAGGCTTGCAGTGATAACACAGTCTGCAGCGCTAACTTGTTCATTTTCCGTTTCCTGTTCGACCTTTCAAAATAAAACTTCTGTAAACATCACAATCACCTCCTTTTTTTTTTTTTAAACAAACTTAGGTATTCAGCGAGGTGAATTATTAATCTGAACCTATGACAACGACACCTAATAAAATTACTGAACGTTCTTATTACTTGAGTTTCTCCACACCTAAACATCACTTAAACAGCACTGCGTTTGCGCAGATCTGTGACTAAACACTATCAACATTCAACACTATAATACTGGTTACAGTGTTAGATTCAGGAACAACAAACATGTTACACGCAGCATAACCTTTAACTGGTCACTCAGATATTCAAGTCTTAGATCTGATGTAATCAGACAGATGCATAGGTGCGCGTCTGTTTGATCTGACTGGGTATCTGGGCTTGTCTGTTAAGGCGGGGTCGACATGCCGTCCAGGTGGGGCATCTTCAAGTCCATGTCTGATTTTCTTGAAGAATGAGGCATTCCTGACAATTGAGTGTCCATCCCGTGTAGCTGTAATTTCAGAACCCTTAACCTTAGTCACTTTGTAGGGTTTTGCATTGTATGGTGTGGATAATTTGTTGTGCTTGGGTTGGCGATGCAGCACTGTGTCACCCGGACTTAGTGAGTGTGGTCTGGCGTGACGAGTTGCATCTGCGATCACCTTCATCTTGATCTTTGCACTATCATCCCTTGCTCTCACTTCAGCATCTGAACACTTCCGTGGAGTGGTGTTAACGAAAGGGAGCTTGGTGTATAGCTGGCGTTGAAACAGTATTTCAGCTGGTGAGCTCGCTGTTGTGCTATGAGGTGTAGATCTGTACTCACGAAGAAAGATGTTTAGTTGCTGTTTCCATGGTGTGCCCTGCGTCTCGGCAACTCTCAGTGCTTTACCTAGGGTTCTCATGAATCTCTCAGCAATGGCATTCGCCTGAGGCCAACAAGGTGTGATTTTGCGATGATGGAATCCTAGGTAGTCTGCAAACTGTGAGAAAGCCTCACTGTTAAAAGGAGGACCATTGTCAGTTTTTACTGTCCTTGGGATCCCAAACATGGAGAACACTTTGTCAATTACTGGGATAACAGAAGATGCTGATGTTGAGCGTACACTTTCAACGACTGGATAGCGAGAATACTCGTCTGTGATAACGAGCAGGTATTCCCCCGTAGGGAGTGGTCCATAAAAGTCTGCACTGACACTGTGCCAGGGCGTTTCCGGTAATGGTGACATCTGCAGAGGGTCAGTGTGTGTGACAGGTGTGCTAGCTTGGCACGGCAGACAGTTTTGAACTGCAGATTCTGCTTTCCGATCGATCTCTGGGAACCATACTTTGGTACGTAGCAGCGCTTTGGTCTTGACGATACCCTGGTGCCCTTCGTGTGCCAGTTGTATTGCTCTTTCTTGTAGGACAGTTGGAATGACTATCCTCGTGCCTCTGAGAATGAAGTCAGATGAGTCGGCTACTGTTAGTTCACTTTGAACATGTTTGAATGATTTCAAAATGTCAGCATGCTGGGATTTATCTGTTAGATGCCACGTGTTGTTCCTGATGTGACCGATGACTTCCTGCAGAACCTGGTCTTTCAGAGTCTCTGTTTTTATCTCGTGAAGTGTCATGGCTTTTGGGGTGGAGTGATAAGAGAAGAAATTGACATACTCTTCTGCAACCTTACATGCACGAGCACTTTCATTCTCCTGTGTTGGCACTGGATGACGTGACATAAAGTCAGCTGGATTATCAGCACCTTTTCTGTATTCCACTCTGAAGTTATATGGCTGAAGTCTCAGTCCCCATCTTTCTATTCTGGCAGGTGGTTTTGATCTTGGGTTATTCCAGATGATTTCGAGTGCCTTGTGATCGGTCACCAGTGTGAATGGATGTCCATAAACATACAAATGGAAATGTTCGCAACTCCACACAATGGCGAGTGCTTCTTTCTCAGTCTGCGAGTATCTCGTTTCCACATCACTCAGTGCTCTGCTTGCATATGCAATAATGTGTTTCATCCCCTTTTCATCTTTTTGACAGAGAATGGCGCCCAGTCCTACTGGACTAGCATCAACTATCAGTTCAGTCTGTCTGCTGGGATAGAAGTAGGACATCGTCGTGTCGCTTGTGAGACTGACCTTGAGTGCCTGCAACGCAGTTTCTTGGTCTTGACCCCATGTCCAAGGGGTGTCCTTGTGCGTGAGCCTGCGCAGTGGCTCAGAGATCGATGAGAAGTCTCTGATGAACCTTGAGCAGTAATTGGCCATGCCAAGGAGACTTTTGATGTCAGCAGGTGTTTTTGGGTTGGGAGCGTGTTGAACTGCTGCAACCTTTTTAGGATCTGCTGAAACGCCACCTGCAGAGAAGATGAAACCAAAAAACTCAAGTTTCGTTTTATTAAATTCACACTTCTCTCGATTCAGAGTAAGACCTGACTCTGATAGTCGCTTAAAGAGAGCTGTAAGATTGCTGTCATGATCAGCCTGGTCCCTGCCAAAGACTATAATGTCATCACTGAGATTTTTGACTCCGTTCAGTCCTTGCAGCGTCTGATAAATAGCATTTTGGAACACTTCAGCTGCAGAAGAGACTCCAAAGCTCAGTCTTTTATAGCGCCGAAGTCCCAGATGAGTAGTGAACGTCGTAATGTAGCGGCTGTCAGGGTGTAATTCAAGTTGGTGGTATCCTGCCCTGAGATCAAGTTTTGAGAACACCGTAGATCCATTCAGCTCATGGATTACATCATCAATCGTGGGCGTGACGTGTCGTTCTCGTTCGATTGCAGTGTTTGCTTGTCTCATGTCCACACATATCCGTACGTCATTCGGATTCTTTGGTTTTGGCAGTGTTACAATGGGTGAAACCCACGGTGTTGGTCCTGTAACCTTTTCAATAATGTCATCAGCTTCTAATTTCTGAAGTTCATCCTCCACTTTTTGACGTAAATGAAAAGGAACACGTCTGTGTGGTTGACAGGTTGATTTTACATCTGTGTTTATGTGCAGTTTCACTTGAAAATCTTTGAGTTTTCCAATTCCCTGGAAAAGTTCTGGGTGTTGTTCTACTAGCTTGTCTGCAACAGAACGTTGAGACTGAGAAGAGACCGCAGTCACAATATGGAGGAGTCCCAAGGCTTTTGAGGTTTCAAAACTCAAAATATTGAAACCTCCTCCTTTAATGACAAAGAAGGAACACCTAACTGTTTTGTCTTGTTTTTCCACACTGCACCTGAATGCACCACACACAGGGAGAGACGTAGATGAGTGGTATGGGTAAATCTTGATGTCTGTAGAAGTCAAAGTAGGACGTGGTGTCAGTTTGTTGTAGGTAGCTTCAGTTAAGCAGTTAGCAGTGGCCCCAGAATCGATTAGCACCGGTATCTGGGTGCCCATTACTCTGATTTCAGTATGTGGGAGTTTAGGATGTT